AAAAAAAAAAAAAAAAAAAAAAAAAAAAGTCAAAGTCTTCTTGGGGCCGGGATTTAACTCAGCGGTTCAGCCATCTGCCTAGAAAGCACAAGGTTCTGAGTTCGATCCCTGATATGAAAAAACAAAACAAAACAAAACAAAAAACAAAAGAGAAAATACAACTGCCAGAACAGGAAGACATTTTGCAAATCATGTACCAATACAGGACTTGTCTCCAACCTACAGAACTTGTACAAAGCATACTGTACAATACAGTATAATATTGTATGGTACAATACAGTAAAAGACTACCCAACTAAATACGAGCAAAGGATCTAAACAGACATTTCTCCAAAGAAAATCTACAAATAGCCAGTAAGCACACAGAAAGATACTCAACTTCTTTAGTCATTAGGGAACAGTAAACGCCACACTGAGATATCACTTCACTCCTTCTAAGACAGCTGTAGTGAAAAAGACTGTAACATCGTTGGTGAGGATTAACAAGATTGGTGCAGATATGGAGAAAATGGAAATTTCATACATCCCTGGTGGGAATGCAAAATGGTATAGAAAATTTGAAAAATGGTTTGTCAGATTCTTGGAACATTAGGCATAGCTGTCATATGACTTAGCAATTCCATTGCTAGATATATACATACCCAAGGGAAACAAAAACACATGCCACACAAGCTTTTAATGACATTCATATCAGCATTATTCGTAATAGCCAAGAAGTGGACACAACTCAAATGCCCATCAACTGATGAGTAGGTATGCAGTATGTGTACACAACAGAGTATTATTTGGCAATAAAATGGAATGATTTACTGATATATGCTAAAATACTGACTTAAGTGAAAGAAGTCAGACATAAAAAGCCACATATTGTGTGATTTTATTTATATAAAAGATACAGGACAGACAAATCCATGAAAGTAGATTAGTGATTGCCAAGTGCCGGGCACAGGCAGAGTGCGGAGTGACCATTAATAGATACAGGGTTTCTTTATGGGATAACAAAAATGTACTAGAATTACAAAGTGGCGATGATGGTATTGTGAATTTTTAAAAACACACTGATCTGTATGCTTAAAAGAGTGTACTTTGTGGCATGTGAATTTCTGAACATAACTTTCTCAGGTGTAAAAGTAGAGAAATGCAGTAACATGGATACAATTACGATAATGAGTTAATACATTTAAAACATATTAAAAATAATAAGCTTATTAACACTGTGCTGGTGATAGTATGGGGTAAAAATGCAATAATATGTTTTTATTAAAGTATAAATGGGCAATAAGTATAATTTGTCAATAATAAATCTAAATAAACACTTCTTTTTCTTTTGGTACTGGGGATTGAACTTGGGACCTTGGGCAGGCAGTGGAACCACTGAGCTAAATTCCTAGCCCTAAATATACTTTCTAAGCAGTTGTATTTATATGAATGTATTCTAATTGTGTGCTTGTATATACATACAAAAATATCCACAAAATCATCATTAGGGCAATGATTTTAAATGCCAATAGGCTGCAAACAATATCTAGACTTGCATACATTATGTTCACAGAAGGGTATTTATGAAACTACTGCCACTTTTGCCTCAGGTGAAGGGATGAAAGACTAGGAGCAGGGGTGGAAGATCTCACTTGGAAACTCTTGTATATTCTGAATTCTGTAGGATGGGTATGCAGCTTTTAAAGTTAATTATTTAGTTAATTGATTCTGGGAAGTGTGATGATAGTAGCGAGAAAAAAAAAAAGTGTCCTGAGGCAGCAACTTGAATCAATCTACCTTTCTTCCTGTCCTTTCGTCATATAGCCTTATAATTCTAGATCCTTTCCTACTACCTACTTGTAGCTATGAACTATTCTCTGGGGTCCTTCTAATAAGTCTCTAGTCATAGGGGTAGCCTTGGAGACTCCCAATATATCTTGCTTAGCAGGAAAAAATATTTGTTCAGTGATAATGTCACACAAACTTGAAATCATACAACTTTTACTTTTGCTTGTTACACTAAACTTGCATTCGATATGTTGAAAATTTTCCTAAAATGCCCATACATTTATATCCTTTATGATACTATAATTTGGTTAGTTTTCATCCAATACTCTTTTAGCTAAAAAGATTTTTAAAACAGTCACTGACTTTGCCCCTCAATAAAATATATTTCAACAAAGAAAAATAAGGAAATAAAATGCTAATAACAGTACAAAGAAAATTCTGTTTGACTAAATATTCTATTTCAGTGTGGAAGATAACAGTGAATGAAAAGAAGAATCTGGAAAAGGCATGGAACATCCTTTTTAGTTTGGTGTTAAGATTTATTAAATTTTTCCATAATCCCCAGATATATCATACATCTATACTTACATAAATACAAACAAAATATAAAGCCAAACAAAATGTTTTATACAGTCTGAAAATTAACCATAATTCAAAACTGGGAAAAAGGATTTTCATAGTCTGTAAAATGAATTGATAAAAACGACTACCACCCTCCAATCCCCAGAAGCATAGACAGGCACTATTTCTACTGTAAAGCAGGGGCACTATTTCTTTATCTCCAAAAATATTTTCCTGAGAAGTGAAAAACGTTATATAACTCCTACTCTTCTGGTTATGCATCTTTTTTTTTTTTGGTACCGGGGACTGAACTCGGGTCCTTGCGCTTGCAAGGCAGGCCACCGAACCGCTGAGCTAAATCCCCGGCCCCTGGTTATGCATCTTTAAAGCAAAGAGAACTTTTAAAAAAGTAAATTTAATCAATTAAAAAATACAGTTATAACTAATTACTTTAACATGCACACATATACACACCTGTTTATTAAAAATCCAGTTACTCAATTAGACTTTTAAAATGACTGAATATATATTATTATGTTACTTACTGGTCAGAGAAGGACTTTACTGAAAATCAACCATCATAATTTCAAAATTAAACCATAAATTTCTACTTCAATATTTTTGTTTTATATAAATATGAAAAAATAACTCAAATAGGATAGTATCGCTTCATTTACTAAATCAATTATAGGTATGATATACAGTGGATCCACACCTTAAGCAAAATATATTAGAGAAAATTATGCTGTAATCTTTGTATCAAAAATGGAACAGGAAAGGCAGAACTCTTGAATGTGGAGAGGAAACGGAACTTACGTAAGTTGGTGTTTCCAAGCTATCTGTATTGACCAGCACTGGAGGAGGATTTGCCTTTAAACAAAAAATTATAAGTGTGTTAGGTTAACAAGAAAATCAAAATATGCACATTAATGTTCACGAATGTTCGAATTGTATGAAAGATTTGCTATTTCTTAAACTATAATTTTATATGGATGTTCTACATTGTTAAATCGCACATACAGTTTTTAGCACCAAGTGAAAAAACTAGATATAAGTTGGTATAATAAATTAATTGCTAATTCTGCTAAAACAGAAAAAATTTTAAGATTTACAAAGAAGCCCACCATAGCCTTTGCATTATATTCTAGGCAAGCAGCATTCCTCATTATATTATTGAATATTCTTTAGTGTAACAAAAACAACTCTTCTGTAGAAATCAAGGTTTTGGTTTTTCTTTTTAAAATTTCTAGGGATCCTATGATTATTCCAATCATTTTGCTATGAAGAAAAAAAAACCTCATTTTTGGCTTAAATTATTGCTCTCCACTGCTATTCCAGACCATTTAGAGAATAATGGTTTGTAATAGCATGAAAAACAGGTAGAATAGTGTATATCTAACTAAAGTGGAAATGAAAAAAGCTTGATTTTCTACTTAAGTTGCAAGTGATTTATATGTGGAGATACTAAAAAAGAAAATTTAATTAACAACAAATGAAAAACCACAGAAAACGCATATAATTCCCTTCAAAACTATTTCCTCTGTATATTTAAGATTACAAAAGTACTAAGCATAGGAGGTGGAAGGAGGATTGATTGGGCCCAGGAAGTTTAGACCAGGATATGCAACATAGCAAGATCCTTGTCTCAAAAAGAGAAAGTACTAAGTCAAACTAAATTTTGAAGAATAAGAAAGATGTCTATGCCTTAGAAAAACTTTAGGAGATAATGCTTATACACATAATTCTCCAGACTTACATAAAAAAGCTGTATGAAAAAGAACATTATAACTAAATTTTCTTTGAAATATGTATTTCAAAAAGGTAGATATTTGGAATTCAAATAATATTTTCAGCAAAGTACTAAGATCTGAATGATTATATCATAAAATGCTTAAAGATAATACAGTTTCATGGTTAAACAATTATACAGTATGCATTTGGGCTATATAAAGCAGCAGATTAAAAATGAGTAAGTAATACTTTGTTAGATATAAACATAACAATAAGTATTTACTGTATGTTCAACCCTACCATTAAATATAAGTCTACCTGTGAATGATTCAATGGAAATCAAAACTAGTAAAAATTCTACTTGTAAAATTGCTATTTAAATAAAACTGAACTAAATGAGAACCAAGACCTGTCATGTAAAGGTACAAGATCCCAATGATGAATGTAACTGCACTGTATACCTAAAATGTACCAATAAATTCAATGAGAGAAAAAAAAAACTGAACTTAGATAGCTGTGATTTTACAATATTTAAAATCATTCTTAGTTTTCACTTCATTAAAAAATTTCATGATAGAACGTCACTGTATTTTGCTTAAGCTATACAGAGAACAAGAAAGAATTAAGTCTAAAGTTACAAAAGAAGTAACACTTCAAATATTATATGAAAGCCATTTGATTTCCTCAACTTAAGCCAAAAAAAAAGGTGGAAAAAAGTGTGTATCAAAGTCTTATTCATACTAAAAACACTACAATGTTAGCTGCCTGTCTCTATTCATTCATATCATTGCATACATTATCTTTTTTTTTTGGTACCAGGGATCAAACTAGCATACATTATCTTTTGACTGTAATAATCTAAAAAGTCTTGTTAATGTTAAAATATATACAAACAGATAATATAAAGTCATATATCCAAAGTAAAACTGGGAGGTTTGGCAGTAGTAGGTGCTATGAAACAACTAAGAGTGAACATGAGTTGTAGCTGGGTAATAAGTATATATAAGAGCTCATTGTACATTTTAGTATTTTGAATTTTTGTGTAACAAAAGGCAAAATCATACTACAGTGTAAGTACTCAATTTGTAAGAAGTTAATAGCTAAAGCAGTCGTTGAGATGCTATGGGTTAGGACTGCTATGAGGATATTATCATTCAAACCGTAAAAGAGATTTTATTATTCAAATTTCATTTCAGAATAAATATAAAAATGACTTGTCATTTTGACTTGAAGAACATTAAATAAGCAATATATAATAGGTTTATTTGTACATGTAGCTCAAAATTAAAATGAGTGACTGAACATACTTGAAGGGAAACCACAGGAGACTTGAACTGGAGAAAATCCATAAATTTTCACATTAAGGATTAATCACGAATTTTAATCAAAACTAACGACAAGATGATGAAAAATACCTAGGAATCTGAAAAAGAAATAGCATATAGATGGTTCAAAATAATAGCCTACAGAAATAATGCTCAAGAGACCAAAGGATATGAATGCTTCAAGCTAAGCCACCTAAAATATAAAAATAATTGAGACTGAGTAAACAGATGAGTAATTAAAGTAACTATCTTGAAATAAATTATACTTTAACTACTAACTTGAGATATTCTAATTTCTCATGTAACAAAATACAGAAATGGTATCTGATAAAGTAGTATTCTTATTTCTCCAATTTGGTGAATGTGGGAATAGGAATTTGAATGGGTGTAGAAAGTATGATATTTATAACTTAAAAAGACTCCGTATGGAAAGCTAAAGAACAGGCTGCTTCAGAAGATAAAACATAGGGGCTGGGGATGTAGCTGAGTGGCATCGTGCCTGCCTTGCAAGAGCAAGGTCCTGAGTTTGTTCAATCCTCAGTACCTGCCTCAAAAAAAAAAAAAAGGAAAGAAAATCTATGGAAAATTTGTATTTTTAGGTAGCTGAAAAAAAGGACAAGAAATCTGAAAACAGCTAATCTGGCCAGTTTAGGACATTAAGAACCTTAAATAGGACAGGAGTTAGCAGAACAGGTAATGTCAACTTTACTTACAAGGAAATTAAACAACAAGACTGGAGAAGAGTATTTTAAAGTTATTTCAAGTGCAAAAAAGAAATTTCCCATATTTCACTTCAAGTGACTCTGTATCTCAAGCTCTGGTTTCAAGTTTCTTCCTACCTCATTTTATCATTCAGTAACATTTGACTATAGCAAACTGCAGTTTGATCAAAGCTCATTTTCTCTATCTATGAAGACAAGGCAATATCTGCCCACACCCAAGAGGACAACACAAGGCCCCTAAAAGCAATATAAAGGAAAGAATGTTGCACTCGATTGGAAACTATATAAATGCTTAGTCATTATTATTTATTGACAATATATAGCATCATGTAGGTTTCAATTTGGACAATAAAATCCTGAAAATTACTTAAGAGATGGGGGGGTAGTAAAAGAGCAAAGATATTCCAGAAGGAAGCATTAACAAATTCTAAGAAAAATGACTTCTGTCAGTAACAATACTTATGAAACTTAATTTTGTTCATTCAATTTTTAATATTGTATTTCATTAACAAATAATCTTGTGATGATTGGTCCATAATGGACTGAAACATTCTCAAAAATTTCAGAGGGTAAAAACACGTTTTTGAAAAATAGTGTTAAAATAATAAGATCCAGTTTTTAAAAACAGACCAAATGAAGTTTAGAAAAGGCTTTTACAATTACATTTTAGTATTTCTTCTGAGCATTTATCTAAGTTTCATTATTTATTTAGCATATCTTTCTCCTCTATTAAATGACAAACAAGTATATTTTTTTCTAGTTTGACTTCACAAAGTCCAGAGAATACATCTTGGATTCTAGTTTGAGACACACTGCATTAAAAGTTAAATACTTTCATTGAGATGATCATTGTCGGTTAAAGTAATTATATAAACAAATGGGACAGACTTCTGGGAAGATGGCAGGGTAAGAAGTATAACAAATGTCAACTGTAATAAATCAATTATTAGTCTAAAAGCTAACCTTATTGTAACTTTGCTTTCTAACACCACATTGTATTCTATATAATTTAAGAAAGTAATGCATTAAAGTTACTTTTTCGATGCTGTTTTTTGAGACAGGGTCTCACTATGTAGTTCAGGCTGTACTTGAACTCACTGGGTAGTGCAGGCTGACCTTGAACTCCCTCTTTCTGCCTCAGAATCCCCAGTGCTGGCATTACAGGTATATGCTAACACACCTGGCTTAAAGTTATGTGTCTGGGCATATAACATGTAAGGATTTAATTTTGTGACATAAAGAAAAGAGGCAGAAACAACTATTAAAGGAGTAAAGTTTATTATTTTTTTGAAATTTTAATTACTGTTTATTGAAAACTGCACTGAATGCTAAATGTCCACCTTTACAATAAACAAATACAGTAACAGTAACTCACACTAAAACAAAACATACGTCTTTTTTTTTTTTTTGGTTTTTTGAGACAGGGTCTCACTATGTAGTTGAGACTGACCTGGAACTCACTATGTAGCCCAGGCTCGTCTTAAACTCACAGCGATCCTCCTGCCTCAGCCTCCCGAGTGCATTCGCCACCATACCCGGCTTCAAAACCTACTTCTGATAGCCATTATTTTTCTGTATGGGACAGTTTAAAATTTTTCTTCTGTCTCAAAAACAGAAACGTGCCTATACAAAGGCTCAAAATAGGCCATTTGTTTAAACAAAAAGGCAACGATTCACAAAAGACTATGAATAGAACATGTAACTCGATACAATCTAATAGGATTTGTTAAAATCAGTCACATCTAATAACACATCTGAAGTGTTCTTGTATATCATGTGAAGAAAAGAATTTATCAATGTCTAAAAAAGTGGGTTTGTTCATAGACAATCTGACAAGTTACCGTAAAGTGTTTCCTGAGACATAAGGAAATGCAACATTAGTCTTCTTGAAACCTTACAGTTCATGACTTTTCATTCAATAAAATAGCTGAGGATCTGAAACTGAGAAAATATATTTAAGTGCGAATAGCATGTGCAACTTTAATTTAATCTTCCTATTAATAAAAAGAGGTAACAAGCCCCTGTAGACCAAAGGTACTAGAGTCATCAGATGAGGATTTCCTCTTAACATTTTTAAATTTTGATATTTGGA